CCTGAGTTTTATCCCACCCGTCACAAAAAGGCTTAGGCATATCCTGGAAGAGTGCATGGCCTGAAAATGGTTCTGCCTAGGCCAGGCTGCAGAAGAGAGTTACCCAGAGCCATGTCATCCAGATCAAGATACAAGCGCAGAGAGAGAAGTTTACAGGGAGGTTGATGGAAGCTTCCGCTTTGATGGAATAATTTTGATGGATCTGGGAATTCCTGACTGATGCACAGTGGGAAGCTAAGCACAAAAAGACGGTGCTGGCTGCTCCTAGAAGCCAACAGCTGAGAAGATGGAGGTTGTGACTGGAAAGACTGATTGTAAGGCAGTCGAGAGCCCCCGGGTCTGTTCCTTCCGAAGACACAGGTCCATCCTCCATCGGACCTCCAAGGTCTTCTCTAATGAGTGCCTTCACTTACATTTTTTGAAGGCTTGGGAGCTATAACTTCATCCACCATTAATGCAAATGGTTCCTTTACTTTGGAAGTATTCAGATAATCCTACCTGCCTCAACATATTCTCTCAAAGGAAACACAAACAAATCTACACAAAATCTGCACGTAACCATCCACCAGGAATCAGATTGTCAAAGGGATGGAGAACCAATGTTCAACAACAAAGGAATGCAGCAACAAAATACAGTTTATTCCTACCATGAACTATTAGCAATCTATGAAAACGAATCCAATGATGCTAATATGCTCTCTGGCCTGCGACTCGCTGGTCAGATCAGGCTGGCCATGATCAGGCTGACCCCAAACTTAAAGATACAGCTGCCTCTACTTTAGATAGAGGTCCTAGCCCAGAGAGAATTTTTATTTTTTTTTTATTTTTTTTTTAAATTTATTTATTTATTTTATGTATATAAGTACACTGTAGCTGTCTTCAGACACACCAGAAGAGGGCATCAGATTCCATTACAGATGGTTGTGAGCCACCATGTGGTTGCTGGGAATTGAACTCAAGACCTCTGGAAGAGAAGTCAGTGCTCTTAACCGCTGAGCCATCTCTCCAGCCCCAGAGAGAATTTTTAAATCACCTCTCTACCTATTTAGTTGTGGTTTGAATATTGAATCCAAGACCTTTCTATGTGCCAGGCATATGTTATGCTATTGAGACCCATGCACACACACTTAAAAATAATAGGTTATAGCTGGCTGTTGGTGGTACACTGTTTAATAGAACTTGGGAGGCAGGAGGTAGGCAGAGACTGGTCTACAGAGTGAGTTCCAAGACAGTATAGGGCTACACAGAGAAACCTTGTCTCAAGGAGAAAAAGAAAAAGTGTATTCCAGAACTGGAAAATCAGGGCAGTGTACACACTAGACAAGTGTGTTTCACTGAGATCTCCATCTCTCAGACTTTAGGCTGGAAAGCTAAGCAATAGAGATGAGCATGCTCATTGGACTCTTTCTCCGTCAATCAATAAAAGGGTAAAATGGGGGTGGGGAGGAGCTGGAGAGATGGCTCAGGGGTTAAGAGCACTGACTGCTTTTCCAGAGGTCCTGAGTGCAATGCCCAGCAACCACACAGTGGCTCACAACCATCTGTAATGGGCTCTGATGCCCTCTTCTGGAGTGTCTGAAGACAGCAACAGTGCACTCACATACATAAAATAAATCTTTAAAAAAAAAATAAGATGGTAATTTTATGATATGTAAAGTACATCTCTAGAGTGTTATGGATGGAACAAGAACACTGTATTCAGGAGGCTGAAGTAGAGGATCCCGAGGACTGGGTAAGCCTGGACTGTGCAGCCAGACTCAATCTCCAAAATCAATAGAATACGAGATATCTTGAAGAATGTTAGTTTCGTAACTTGTAGATATTGTGCAACCTAAGTCTTGGAATGGCTTCCTGTGTATAGGAAGGGTGACTGTGTGACTGTGTCCCTCATGTGAGTGGCAGAGGAGGACCACAGGTGCTTCATTATTTCCTCCACCTGTCTCTGTTCTGCAATGCCCTGGTTAAGGGAATAAATGGCCATGGCCAATTTTTTTGGTGTTTGGTGAGGATTTGACCTCATGTCCTGTGTATGCAAAGTAATACATGGTTGCTCAGTAAGTCCTGGGACTTCCTGTATCCCAAAGCCAATAGATAGATAGATGATAGGCAGATAGATAGATAGATAGATAGATACATAGATACATAGATAGATAGATACATAGATACATAGATGGATGGACAGATGGATGGATGGTGCTTATTAAATATGAATAAGCTTAAGACTTAGAGGTAACAGTTTTCTTCTCAAGTCTCATTGCCCTTTGGCTTCTACAATTCACAAGCTGACACATCCTTTGAGGTACAAAATACAAAGATTTGGTTTGAATTTCACTTTCTCAATTTTAAGATAGTCTCACAGCTCTGGCTGGCTTTGCTCGGCCCTTGGGTTTCTCCTGCTTTAGCCTCTGACATTTACCATAACGTATCCTCCGAAGGTTGGGTCATAAACAGCATTTTCTTTCTGATTAATAATATCAACGTTAGGGTTTGAAATGTAACTCCACTAGACTTTGTGGTTTCTAATTATTTGTTCAGCAAGTGTTTGTCCTGTTCTGAGCTGTACTCAGGAGCCTCAGTTGCTACAGGAGGGCAGAAGACCCTGAACCAGCAGAGAATATTCTCTGAATTACTAGAGAACGGTTATGGAAACTTGTCAATGTGAGCCTGTAATAACCAGGAGCCAATATTGGGTTTTCTTTTTAAGTCATCCATTTCTGCAAAAAGCCCAAATTCCTGTGATTGGCCACTTGCTTCCACTCCATTCCCAGATAGAATCCCCGCTAGGGCTGGGAGACAGAGAGGACGAGGGCGGGCTCTGTAACTACAGATGTCTGTCTGATCTTTGGCCCTATGTTCCTGCTGGAATTTTGTTGACACTAAAAGGCTTGGAGTAGTTATTTGCTGCTGCGGCAGCTCTCATATGTAATGTGTCCAGCGTTCAGTGTCTTCAGGTTTTGATAGTTTGTATCTTTTTCTTTTTTTTTCTTTCTTTCTTTCTTTTTTTTTTGTTTTTTTGTTTTTTTTTTTTTTTTTTTTTTTTTTTCGAGACAGGGTTTCTCTGTGTAGCCCTGGGTGTCCTGGAACTCACTCTGTAGAACTCTCAAACTCAGAAATCCGCCGGCCTCTGCCTCCCAAGTGCTGGGATTAAAGGGTGCGCCACAACCGCCAGGCTATTTTGTATCTTTTTCATTTTAGCCTTTCTATTGGGATTTCTTTTACCTTCATATTTGTGAAGGTGGGATATATATATATATATATATATATATAGATATATATATAAATATATTTTTTTTTTTTTTTTTAAATGGTGTAGGGTTTGTTGTTGATTTTCCTTTGTGGAACTAGGGATCAAACTTAAAGCCCAGTGCATGCCAATGGAGTACTTTGCTACTGTGCTAGGCCTCCAGATATTTTAGATGCCTTTCAGTGTGTCTCCTTGGGTGGCTGGAGACCAGGAGTCTTGGGATGAAATGTGTATCCCAGGAAGCCTAACTTTATGTTGGTTCTGAGTAATTCTAACTCAGGTACCCATATATGCTGAATTCACCTCCTTGGTGGTCCTTCCTCTGGGGTTTTTATGTACCATAAATTTTTACATGTGTACATGTTTACATTTATATATGTGTACATTTCACACTTTTATTACTAGTGTGTCAGTGGCTGGCTGAGTGCTGGGCCATATGTGTCATGGCACATGTATGTTCTCTAGAGCCACAGATAGCCAGTGCTCTGCACCATGTGATTTCCATGCATCAAACTCCTGCGCTCTTTTGCCCTTGTGTGGTTTTTTGTTGTTGTTGTTTTTTGTTTTTTTTGAGATAGGGTCTCACTGTGTAGTGCCTGGAACACTTATGAAGAACAGGCTAGCTTCAACATGCCTCTGCCCTCCAAACACTATGATTAAAGTCATGCCCCACCACATCTAGCTGACAGTCTTGGCTGCAGGCTCAGAGGAAAACAGACCTCCTCCTTATCTCACCTCGTATAGACAGCTAAATGGTGCCATTTCTTGAAAGGATTACTGTTATTTGTTTGAGACAGGGTCTCTCCTATATCCCAGGCTGGCTTCCAACTAGATTTCTAGCCAGGGACAATTGTGAATTTCTGCTCCTCTTGACCCTACCTCAGGGGTGCTGGGACTGCAGTCACACATGCATTTCTTTTTGCTGGCTCTGTGCTGGACTGGAGAGACCCAGGCTCGTGCATGCCTGGTCAGCACTCCATCAGCTGAGCAATGGCCCAGGCTAGTCTGCACATTTTATAGTGCGGATCATGTTCTCTCCTTGGGTTATTCCACTTCTATTACCTGGGAAGAAACGTTTTAAAAATCAGACAGGATTTTTTATGGGACTCCAAGAAATCCAGAGTCTCCCACTGCCGTGGTAGCTACATTTCTTTGGCCTTCAGTATTCTGACAACTTACACAGTGATGTGTTTAATTTTTCTTCATTCACTATTGACTTCTTCAAATAAGACAAACGTCTTTGATTTAAAGCAGTTCCGTGGCTGCAGTGTCCAGACTCAGAAGATTAATCCTGGAGTATAGTCAGTTCAGCCAAGCAAGGGTCACCTCATGGATGACACAGACACCCTGTCTCAGCAACAGGCAAAGCACACACCTTAGCCCCTCCTGTGTAAAGAGTTCATGAGGACAAGTTGTTTCCAGGCCTTGAGTGATGGCTCAGAACATTTAAGAACATTTCTTCCTGTTCTTACAGAGGTCCTAGCACCCACATGGTGTTCAAAACTGTATCACACTACAAGTTCGTATGTGTTACATACATACATGGAGTTAAGGCACCATACACATGAAATTCAATGGAAACAATTTTTTTTATGTTATTTATTTATTTTTTTACAGTGACTCTGAAGCCTGGGATGTGTAAGACTTCCCCTACCCCACCTCCCAAAAACGGAAAGAAAAGGAAAAGAATGAAAGAAAAAAAGTCTGGCTCCTGATGTATAAAGCTTGTACAGATGAATACATTGTGTTCTTTCAGGTGCTTAGAAGAAGCGGTCCTGAAGAGAAGGTCCTTTGTTTGGTTCGCGAGCGTGTAGACCATCACTGTGCTACGGCTGTGATAGTTGTCCTTATCCTGCTGTGGGAAGGGATCCCTCGCCCGATGGCTGACCGCCTGTATGATGAGCTCACTGAGAACTTGAGGTCCTACAGCGGGCATCCCACCGACCGAAGGTGTACCCTCAACAAAAAGTAATCAGATCTGCGTTGTTCTCCCTCCCTCTGTTGTGAGCGGTAAATTGCTAAGTAACTGCCAACTGAGACTACCATGTGAGGAACAGGCCTCTTTAGTACCGTGAAAGGAAAGCTGCACGCTGTTAGAGGCCGCTGGCCCTCCATGAGTTGGAGCTAGGACTGTATCGGACTTACGTAGCTTTTGGAACTTGCTAGGCTCAGTCCCCAGCACCACCAAAAAAAAAGAAGAAAATCAACAACTTCTGATGTTAAGGATTTTCTTGCCCTCTACTGGGATGGAGCCAGTGCTGTACTGTCATCCTCTTCCCTGTCATTTGCAAATTTATTTATTTATTTATTTATTCATAGATTTTTGGGGCAGGGTCTAGATAGCTGGCCTAGAACTCTAAACTTGTTCACTTGGAATCTACTTTAGTGCTTTTGAAATGTCCCGAGGCAAGCAGCCTTTCATCATTCCTGCTGTAGTCCTCATAACGCCTTATCACAATCGACAGAGACCGTGTGTTTAGTGGGGTGCATGCTCTTTGCCGAGGTCACCTTAGACATAAAGGAGCTACAGTTCAAGAGGACGTCAAGGTTTTTAGTTGAAAAGGAAGGTTTCAATTTCCTGCCTTTATTTCTCCTCCTTGGGTCTCTAAAGTCAAACATAGGCAAGCTTGTTTTCTACCTGGCCTTAGAAGCTTGGATAATCACTTTAGTTAAATAAGAACCAGGAATTGATTCAGAGGAAAGAGGTTAGGTTGCTGGTAAGTTTGAGGCTAGAAGTAGCCAGGGTATGTCCTATTGAAGAAAGTATAAATATTATAACCTGTTCATGAACCATTCCTTTGCCCTTGTCTAATGGCCTACTGACCGTCTTCCAGACGTACCTGCACCTGTCAGGGCACCGACCCAAAAACCTGCGGAGCGTCGTTCTCCTTTGGTTGTTCGTGGAGCATGTATTTCAACGGCTGTAAGTTTGGGAGAAGTGAAAACCCCAGAAAATTCAGACTCGCTCCAACCTATCCCTTACATGTGAGTTGCCTTTTGAATTGTCCTGTGGTATCTACAGTGTAGAACCATGTAGAGTGCCTTAAAAGTTTCTTGAAAACAGTCACAAATGACTAAAATACACATGTCGCCACTAAGTTTCTAAGTCAGGTAAAGACTATTACAGTTGTCCATGAGTCTTACTGCTCCCCAGCACCAGACAGAGGGAACCATTATTATGAGCGGTTAAGAGCACTGCTCTTCCAGAGGTCCTGAGTTCAATTCCCAGCAACCACATGGTGGCTCACAACCATCTGTAATGAGATCCGATGCCCTCTTCTGGTGTGTCTGAAGACAGCTACTCTATATTCACATACACAAAAGTAAATCTTTTTTTTTTTTTTTTTTTTTTAAGAAAAAAAAACAAACAAACTTAGGGTTTTATGGGCAGCCAGAGTCAAACAAACTCATTTGCCTACATTTTAAAAACTAAGAAAGTGCCGGGTGGTGTTGTGGATAGCCCTGGTCTTGTATTTTGATACTAATCCCGCCTTCCTGGGAAGGGGGTGAATCAGTACACAGGTGACTTCTTGTAAACCTTCTGCCCACCTTAACTTGTAAAATAACCGTTAGAGCTGGTGACTGGGCAGTAGAAGGGGAGGTGGAGCTGAAAAGTTTGGTGGAGAAGAGAGAGTGGGAAGAGAAAAGGAGAAGGAGGAGACGGAGATGGAAGGAAAAGTGCGTGGCTTGGAAAACCCACAATTTCTGTCTCGTAGCTGGGGAATAGAGTAGTGTAGTGGTGAATCTGCCCGATCTGGGTGTGCAGCTTATAGCCATAATTATTGAGTTGTGTTTGCATTGACCGGGCTTATTTGGGTTGGAGATTTACTGCAACAGGGTGGCAGTGGCCCATGCCTTTGTTCCCAGGACTCACAAGGCAGAGACAGGAGGATTTCAGAGCTGGAGACCAGCCTGGTCTACAGAGCAAGTTGCAGGACTAAACAAAGAAAACCTGTCTAAAAAAAAAAAACCCCACAAACAAAACAAAACAAAAACAGCAACAACAACAAAACTAAGAAAGTTTACTTCCCACAGAACTACTATAAAAGAATTACTGGAATGAGCTCTGAAGGAAGCAGCATGAAAACTGGATGGATCGCTCCAGACCGCAAGGCCCTCATAAGCAAAGAGGTTGGTCCAGTTTTTTATTCAGTTTTTAAACTGAAGCATGAGTTTACAAGTCATTCTTGTTGAGCAAAATCGGGAGGCAGGGGAGCGGTTATTATGGCTGAATAGGTAGGGGAATGTTCTCACGTTTTGTTAGGGTAAGATTAGTCATGTCAGAGTCGGTGGATCGCAAACATGCCCTCTCATCATCCCTAAATAGGTTCATTTAAGTAGATCAAAGCATTCCACCTAACTGCATATATCAATCGCTTTCTCTGATGCATCACAATATTTTTATTAAACTTTTTTAAATGTGTGTTTGTGCACTCGCGTGCGCACATGTGTGAATTTGACATCATGTACCTCAATCCCGTTTATCTCTGCCTCCCCTCATAACCCTTACAACCTTCCCCCTAATTAAAAAAAAGTCTCATTGTGAAGCTGTGTGTCACTGTGTGTCTCACAATATATCCTTTTGTCCATGCGCCTTTGCTGGTAAACATTCATTGCATGAGGCCTCTGGTTTCTCCTACTCTACCAATACTTGAAGGTCACTGGGACTCCTCTCAGGTATCCTACTGCCGTGCAGCTTTGGATCTGTAGGACTGGCCTCTTCATGTGCTCCAGCAGTTCAGTGATGGCGTAGATGTTGGGGTGAACCAACTTAAAGACCCGGATCGGAACCTGAGGGCCATCTGAAGTGGAGCTGGTCAGTCCACTGGCTCTCATGCCCCAGGGGGTCTGTTCACTTAACCACCCCCATGGGCAGACCCAGCTCTGCTATGTGCCCAGGAGAAGTGAAGGGCCTGGGGCAGGGCAGCTCTCTGGCTCTCTAAACCCTAAGGCCAGGCCTCTGACTCACTGCCAGGCCTGAGGTGGGGGAGGAGGGTATCCCTCTGTGTTCTGTGCCACCTTGTGCAAGACCAGTACCAAGGGCCAGCTCTCCTAAGCTCATCCCTGCAGGGCTGGCTCACCCACAACTCTTTCAGTGTGTAGGGCTGTTTCCCGCATCACTACAGGAGGTTAGGGGCTAGGTCAGTCCCTACTCACACTCTGAAGGCCAGTTCTTCCATGATCCCCAGGTGAGGGACAGCGTGTCTCCTTTCGACACATCAGACCGGGGATGTCGTCCTGGCCTTTGGTGGTAACAAACTCCTGCTGCTGTAGAGCCATGGACCCAGATGTGGCCCCGGTGGCACTGGCCACCATGGTCCCAGGTGGCACCACCAGCTCCTCACATCAGAAAAATCAAATGCTCCCATGACTTGATAGAACAGTGTGAGCTCTTCGATCCTCAGAGCTTTCCCTTTCGCTTCCCAGCATGCTCTTGAAAGCATGGGTCAATATTCCTCTAATGAATAGAGAGAAAAATTATATGTAGGTTTTTTTGGGTTTTTTTTGGTTGGTTTTTCGAGACAGGGTTTCTCTGTGTAGCTAGCCCTGGCTGTACAGTTTCTGTAACCTGAAACATGGACCCTGCTCAGAACTTCTGTAATGTAGACTTGGCAGGCTAGCCCAGGAGGACTGAGTTCAAGGCTAGCCAATGATACATGTAAAGAATTCAATGACTCAGATAAAGCCATGGAAGTCATGTAGAGGCTGGGCACAAATGGTCCAGACCTTCCTGCTCTTTCCAGCGCTGTGGATTTCTGTGTACATACCACAGCTCTGAGGTCCATTAGGAGTGTTCTCTAGTCTAAATGCTAAAAATTGAGGACGGCTGAGAAATACTAAGAAGATGATTAATACAATTACCAAGAACTTAAGTTAAACGTATAGCTTATAGTAATGCTTATTTGAAAATGGATAAGATGTTACATGCATATCTATAGCTCGATTTGCCTTCAGGAACTTTGTCTGTGTTCAAGTGTCCAATTCTATTAAGTAAGTAGGTGTGCCTTTTCTTCTATGTTGGAGTATATTCTTCACTATATAGATTTCTAATGTCACAGTCGTTCTACCCACTGTATCGTGGTAAGTATGAGTGGTAAGTCCGCCACATATGGAATTATATGTAGTGGAGTTTGATGCACACCTGTAACTCACTTTAACATAACTAACATGTTTTAAAGTTGCATTCCATGGATTATCTTTTTTATAGGAAAAACAGCTTGAGGAGAATTTACAAGAGCTGGCTACAGTATTAGCCCCAATTTATAAGCAGATGGCTCCAGTTGCTTATCAAAATCAGGTATTTTTTTTTTTAGAACCTTTCACAATGACCTTAAGCATATTTTAAATTTCTATGTCAAATAAGTTACTATTCATAGCATTTTTTCTATGTTCCTCTTAAATATGTCCCTTCTTATTAAAAATAGTTGTCAGATTGTGTGTATACTTGCCTGTGTGTAAACACATGTGTATACCATGTGTTTACATTTTAGCATTCTATGTCTTTGAGACAGGATCTCTTGCTGAATGTGGTTCTCATGTTTACTGACAGTCCTCAAACCCCAGTGACCCTCCTTCCTCTTTCCACCCTCTTTGGGAAAAGCATATACAGAGAAAGCAAGGCTTTCTGTATGGGTGCTAAGACGCAAACTCCGGTATGCAGGCTTGGCTGTCAAGCATCCTTAGAGTCTAGGCCATCTCTCCTGGCCTGAAAGCTCTTCAAATGTACACTTCTTATTGCTGCCTTTCAAAAGTACTCAAGTAGGGTTTTTTTCTGTTGGGTTTTGAGAGAGCCTCACATGTTCCTGTCTAGCCTAGACTTCACTTTAAAGTCTCAGTGATTGAATTATGCCTTAGGCAAAAGTGGGGCATGCAGTTGAGAGGTAATGCTTTGTTATCCTTTAGGAGCTCCAGAACTGCCAAAGACAAAACTGTAGATGGAATAGACCTAGGTGGGAGTCCAGCCTGATGTACAAAAAACCTTGTTTATCAGAGATGGCTCAGTGGTTAACAGTACCTGCTGGACTTGGGGTAATGGTTCAAAATGTTTTTAATCCCAGTGCTTTGAAACCCTGCAGAAACAGGCATATTTCTGAGTTCAAGGCCAGCCTGGTCTACACAGAGTGTTCCCAGATAGCCAGGGGCTACATCAGAAACTCTATCTCTACCCCCCCCCACACACACACACCCAAAAAGAGCTTCTTGCCAGCATATTCTGCTTAATTTTTTTTTCATTTTATGTAGGTTAGTGTTTTGCCTCCATGTCTGTGTGAAGATGTAAGATCTTGAAATCACAGACATTTATGAGCTGCCAAGTGTGTGCTGGGATTTGAACTTGGGTTCCTGTGGAAGAGCTGTCAAAATTCTCAACTGTTGAGCCATCTCTCCAGCCCAGCACCTTTGTATCTGATTAGGGTGTTCACTGTGTTTGTCTGGAGGTGGATAGTTCATGCCTGCAACTAGTTTCTAACTCAGTTCCCTAACCACAGCAGCAAGTGCCCTTATCCACTGAGCCATCTTGCCTACAAGCCCTTGATACACTTTTATTGCCCTACCTGGGTACTTCCACATATAACTACGTATATCAAGACAGAAAACCAAACTCACACAGAATATAGTTGGGAAGAAATCGTGGCTGGATAGAACATTATTTTACAGTTTTCACATTTCTTTCTTAGGTGGAGTATGAAGACATTGCTGGAGAGTGTCGACTAGGTAATGAAGAGGGGCGGCCTTTCTCCGGTGTCACCTGTTGCTTGGATTTCTGCGCCCATTCTCACAAGGACATTCACAACATGCACAATGGAAGCACCCTGGTATGCACTGAGTCCTTTAGTCCTTTGTAATTTAGCGGTGCTCCTTAAATGTAATTGTATTGAAAAAGATTTTTGATTGTAAGGTATGCGTCTTGGTTAGGGTTTCCATCGCTGTGCACAGACTCCATGACCACACCTACTCTTATTATAAAGGACAACATTTAGTAGGGGCTGGCTTACAGTGTCAGAGGTCCATTATCATCGTGGCAAGATCATGGCAGCATCCAGGCAGATACAATGCTGTAGAAGAGGCAGGGCATCTTGATCTGAAGGCAGCCTGGAGAATCTCTTTTGTCCTGGGCGGAGCTTGAGCATAGGATCTCAAAGCCCGCCCCCACAGTGACGCACTTCCTCCAACAAGGCCATTATGGCTTTTTTTTTTTTTTTTCGAGACAGGGTTTCTCTGTATAGCCCTGGCTGTCCTGGAACTCTGTAGACCAGGCTGGCATCGAACTCAGAAATCCGCCTGCCTCCGCCTCCCAAGTGCTGGGATTAAAGGCGTGCGCCACCACTGCCCGGCGCCATTACGCCTCTTAATAGTACCACTCCCTATGGGCCAAGAAGTCAAACACATTATTCTATAGGGGCCAAACTATTCAAACCACTAGAATATGTATAGAAAAGAAATATTGGTTGTTGGACAAGGCTTTATTTAATCCCAGCAATCAGGACTCCAAGACTCCTGGGTCTCTGAGTTCTAGACTAGTGTGGATTTAAACTCTTTGTAATAGACCCTTTCAAATATGTGGGTCTAGGGGGCCAGTTTGGTTTTTTCCAAACCAACACACCTGCTGTAGGTGATGCCGGGCATTGCTAGAACATTCCTTATCTCTTCTCCCGCCCGCCCCCCCCCACCCCCCCCAAACCCTCAGGTTTGTACCCTGATTCGACAAGACGGCCGGGACACAAATGTTCCCGGGGATGAGCAGCTCCACGTCCTCCCACTATACCGGCTTGCAGACACTGATGAATTTGGCTCCGTGGAGGGGATGCAAGCCAAAATCCTGTCTGGGGCCATCCAAGTCAATGGGCCAACCAGGAAGAGGCGACTTCGTTTCACTGAACCTGTTCCTCGATGTGGGAAGAGGGCCAAAATGAAGGAGAAGAACAACAAATCAGGTACTGCTGGCCTCAGAAAGAAGAAGATCTCTGCCAGCACAAAGGGAGCCCCAGGTGTGTCAGGTCATGCAGAGCTTTCCTCCCTGGGGGTGGGGGCAGGGTGAGGGGGGGCTTGAACTTGCACTTGCTCTTTTTCTCTTCTCTTGGCTGCCATCTCATCCTGCCACACTCCCAGAGAGATGAGTTCATTTCTGTTTTCTGATCTTTGCCTGGTCCTCATTCACAGATACCCACAGATCATTGAGTTTGCTTCAAACTTAGACCTCTTCCCTCTAAGGTCTAGGTCAAGTTTGACTCCTGCTGTTTGTATGAGTTGCTCTGCATGTACACCTGTATGCCACAAGAGGGTGTCAGATCTCTTTATAGATGGTTGTGAGCCACCATGTGGTTGCTGGGAAGTGAACTCGGAACCTCTGGAAGAGCAGCCAGAGCTCTTAACCACTGAGCCATCTCTCCAGCTCCCAACTCCTGGGTGGTTTTGGTTTTGTTTGTTTGTTTTTTTGTGAGATTGGTTTTGGTAAATAACACTGGCAACACTGTGGATTTTGTGTGTTGTTTTTGCGGGGGTGGGGTAAGGGGGTGGGGTAAGGGGGCACTTGGGAGGCAGAGGCAGGCGGATTTCTGAGTTCGAGAGTTCAAAGCTAGCCTGGTCTACAGAGTGAGTTCCAGGACAGCCAGGGCTACACAGAGAAACCCTGTCTCGGAAAAAACAAAACAAACAAAAAAAAGAAAGCAAATGCTTAATCCCTTCAATGAATTCCACAGTGCTAATTGGTCCAAATGTGATCACTTTTTGAATTTTTGCATGGATTTTTTTTTCTCGGAATGATTATAACAATTTCTCTTACAGTGCCTTTGAGATTTTTTTCCCCCCTCTGAACACTGATTTTTATTTTTAAAGTACCTCAAAATTCATTTTCCTGTCTTTAATTTGTAGAGACTTTTCAAGCTGAGTTAGGAGTCTTTGTCACAGACCTAATTGTCTCTGACAGCTTCTATTACTCTAGGATGTCTAGGGTTTTCTTTCACTTTGAAGTGAATGGTAAAGGTCAGGAAAGATGGCTCACTAGTAAAGGAGCACTGGCTGCTCTTAAGAGAAAGAGATCTTAAGGGAGAATTGTTGTCTGGACAAGTACAATCAGCTGAGGTAAGGCTCTGGCAGAATACTTACTTGACTAGTATAAGAAGTCCTGGAATTAAATCTGTAGCATGACCCTAAAACATTAGAAGGCTTGGGATTTTGGCATATGCTCTTAATCCCAGTACTGAGGCAGGAGGATTCTGTAAACTGCAGGCTAACCTATTCTATAAAGACCCTGTTTCAGATGCATGCATTTTTCCTGAATATATGCCTGTGCACCACATGCATGCCTGGTTCCTGAGGAGTTCAGAAGAGGGTGTTGGATCCGCTGCAACCAGAGTTACAGACAGTTGTCGGTGCCTTCCTTCTGGGCACTGGGAATCCAAACCTAGTTCTCGGCAATAGCAACAAGTGTTCTTAACTCTCCAATTCCCGTGATACAGTTTTAAAAAGTAAAAAGGGCACATGCCTTTGATCCCAGCACTTGGGAGGCAGATCTCTGAATTACAGTCTAGTGTGATCTTTGTCACTGAGTCTCAACATTCCTGATGCTGTGACCCTTTACCACAGTTCGTGTCGTTGGTGACAGCCACCCAATCATAACATTATTTTCATTGCTCCTTCATAACTATAATTTTTTACTGTCATGAACTGTAATGTAAGTATCTGATATTTCCTATGGTCATAGGTGATCCCTGTGAAAGGACTGTTGGATACCTTACTCCCACAAGGAGTCTCAACTCACATATTGAGAACTGCTGGTCTACATAGTGAGTGTCAGGATAACCAGGGTTATGTTGAGAGACACTGTCTTAAACAAATCAAAGCAAATCTTATTACAGGCATACTTATAGCAAAGTGATTGCCTACTCAGGAGTGAACACCAGGACAGAGAAAAGCAGTTAAAAATACTTTTTAACAACTGACAGGTGCCAAAATAGCTTCTTTTATTTTTTTTAAGGTTCACACAACACTAAGAGCTATCCATCAGCCTCATCTACTCCTCACCCAGTGAAAGAAGAATCTACAGACTTCTGTCCCCTGCCGGCTTCCTCCACAGAAACATCTACCTGTGTGCACAATAAAACAGCCTCAGGTGGGTTTCCAGAAACAAGTAGCAATCTCCCCTGCACAATGCCTTCTGGAGCACACAGTGGTGCTAATGCAGCTGCTGGGGAATGTTCTGGAATGGTGCAGCCTGCTGAGATGGCTGCTCTTCCTCACCAATCTCTTCCCATAGCGGATTCTCCGGTTCATGCTGAGCCTCTCACTAGTCCATCTGAGCAGCTAGCTTCTAACCAGTCAAACCAGCAGCCCCCTTCCCTCAGTAATCCTCAGAAACTGGCTTCCTGTAAGGTGGAAGACGAGCGGCACACTGAAGCAGACGAGCCTCAGCGCCCCGAGGACGATAACTTCCCTCAGCTTGATGAATTTTGGTCGGACAGTGAGGAGATCTACACTGATCCTTCCTTTGGCGGAGTGGCAGTAGCGCCCATTCACGGCTCTGTGCTGATTGAGTGTGCCCGGAAGGAGCTTCACGCGACCACCTCCTTGGGTTCTCCCAGACGAGGGCTCCCTTTCCGTGTGTCCCTTGTATTCTACCAGCACAAAAGCCTAAATAAGCCTAATCATGGGTTTGATAGCAACAGGATTAATTGTAAATGTAAAAAAGTAACGAAAAAAAAGTCCGCAGACCAGGAGGGAACTGATTTATCCCCCGAGGCCCATCTATCATACCAAATTCCTTCTCGAGTTGCGTCAACCTTAACCCGCGACAATGTTGTTACTGTGTCCCCCTACTCTCTCACTCACGTCGCGGGACCCTACAACCGTTGGGTCTAAAGGCTTCTCTCCTGTAATGCCTTTGCTAATGTGGTGTAGTTTTTTCGGTGCTGTCCAAAAGAAAGTCGTTCTGTTGTTTACTGTAGCTTCATTTGGCCCATTTCAACTCCGAGGTAAAAATTTAAAAAGTGGGGGGGGGGGTACTTAACTGTGATTATATTTTGAGAATTGGTAGAAGGTAAACATTTTCAGCAAAAGTAAAATTTTTATAGTTTTAAATACTTAAAGAAACATCTTGGTTAGGTGTTGGCCATGCTAGAACCACAGAGTCTGGTGCTTACATTAAGTTCCTTTACTATTAAGAGGGTTTAAACAACAGGTTCCTGCAATAAGATGTGAAAACCAAGATGTAGTGTTAATTCTACACAGTTCCTGGTGCTCTAACCACATCCACACACATAGTAATGAGCTGATTGATTGTTTTATGGTGCCATTGTTCAAGCATCTTCCAATCATTGCCATCATGTCTGCACATTTCTTTGAAGTAGACCAATGAAATGCTTTTTCTCTTAAAACATTTCTCCTATATAAATAGTTCTTTATTATTCTAGTGATGGTTGGAGGCTGTTCGTTAACTGTAATTGTATATATTTTAAAAAGCACTTTCTATTTTTAAGAGTAACTTGAAATAGTATAGTAGCAGAATCCTATTGTCTATTATGTGTGCATATTTGATTACCAGAGAAGTCATTTGTTCTTGCTGTGTAGAATCCTGTCCCGTTAACCTCAACCTGTATCAAATAACACATGACTTCTGTTCTTTACTTATAGAATAGAGGATCTCTAAAAAAAATTGAAAATACAAAATGCCACCAATATCAATTTCCCCTTTTTTACTAGGAAAAAAAAATTGTGTTCTGAAGTCGCCTCGTGAATTAAGTATATGACCCATGACAGGTGTTTTCAAAAGGCAGAGGAGGTAAATTGGGATCAGTCAAAGGTTCCCAATGCTTCAAGATGAGAGAATACATGTAACATGTCCTTCCCAAATGAAAAGGAAATGTTCTGTAGAGATAATTGAGGGGACAAGCTTGCATTAGCACTCTCACCCTTACCCTGGAGTTCCATGGTGATATTGAGAGCCAAACTACTAATCATATTACCCTGTCGGGTTTAGGAAAATGGGAACTCAAACTTGCTTAGTAATCCTCTATTTTGAAGGTCATAGGTAAAACAACATCCTGGATTGTTTTAGCGTTCCGGTGTTCTGCCCATTGTTTAATTGACTTATTTATATACCAAGAATGATTTCCCCAAACAAAAAAGCCTAGAACCAAGAGACCTTTCAGTGAGATCCAAATGCACAGGTGCTAATGACTTTCATGGGGTTGGATTCTTTGGATCTGGATTAGGATTCCTGTCCTTCAGGAACCCTAACGGTGCTTCTCAGAGATGCCATAAGAAGCCCACAACTACCATAATCTTGGTGCAAATGTAAACAGTTGCAGTAAGCTCTCTAGAGAATAACTTATTAAAAATGATACATGGTGCAAAGTGTCAAGTTTCTGACTGAGGCAGGTTCAGGAAATAAGGACATGTCCACTGATGTTCCGTCGTGTACAAGGAGACGGATGCTCCTGGAATACATACAACTGTTGATCTGATTTAGTGTTTTGTGTGCCTTAGATTTCCGTTTATAAACATTTTTAAGTCTGGAGTTTTTACGTAGGTATGTGAATGTGACCGTTTATTCCTTTATCTACGTCAGTTAGGTGTTTGTTAGTGTAGCCCATCAGAAATACTCCCTCGTGAATTGACCTTTAAGGTTTCAGACCTTAGTTAGAAATCATTTTCTTCCTGGTCTACAGAGTGAGTTCCAGGACAGCCAGGGCTACACAGAGAAACCCTGTCTCGAAAAACCAAAAAAAAAAAAAAAAGAAATCATTTTCTTGCCATTACGGGGTAGAATCTTCTCCTCCTGCCAGTTCCTTCATCTGTCCGTCCCTCCAAGGAACATTTAATTGACTGCTTCTCAAATCGGTTTGATTGGTTTGTTTTTCCTTGAATTACCTTGTAATCCAAACTTATAAAGAATGCTTGGAATTACTTTCTAAGGACATAACAAATCACCTATCAATGAAGAGCTACAGTAATATATATTCAAGCTGATGTGATTTTAATGATAAGGCCACATTCTCGGTGCTTAATCAGTTGTATACACCAATGTTGATTAATGGGACTGTTGGGGTTTATGAATCTAGTTGCAGTTTGACAAAATAACTACATGAAACTAATCAGTTTCAACAGAAATGTTGTCATTCCATTGCTAAAGTTAACATTAGAGATGGAGTGCCTCAGCCAGCAGCCCTCTGTGGAAACTTCATTATTGCTTTCGTGGTCTCTGATGTGCTCTATAGACATCCTCTGCTGGGTCAGTGTTCTCCTGCACCTCTGCTGGCTAGACACTGCTTTAAGAATGGTCTGTCTGTCTGTCTGTCTTTTTTTTTGGTTTTTCGAGACAGGGTTTCTCTGTATAGCCGTGGCTGTCCTGGAACTCACTCTGTAGACCAGGCTGGCCTCGAACTCAGAAATCTGCTTGCCTCCCAAGTGCTGGGATTAAAGGTGTGCACCACCACCGCCCAGCAAGAATGGTCTTTCTTAAGAAACAAAATAAATTGGTGTGAGATGACAGTCACTTATCCAACCCACCCATCTAACAGTCTTTGTACATCTCTACTATTTTATTTTAATTGGATTCCGTTTCTTTTACCTCGTCTGTCAAGTGCTAATTAAGACTGTTGATGGTGTAGATTTTGGATACATTGTTATATGACTTCCATGGTAGCTCTGCTGATGATACGATTCTTGCCTGTTATAGATTTATACATCACTTGCCCTCTCAAAAATCCATTTTTGGTGGGTTTTGCTTTTATGAGACTGGATCTCTACGTGGTCCTGGCTGTCCTGGAACTCAATGGCAAACCAGATTAGCTTAGGATTCACACAGAATTATCTTCCTGCTCCTGCCTCTGTGCTGGGATTAAAGTTGTACTCCTCCACTCTCCTAGCTGTTTTGTTGTTCGTGCTGGTCGGCCTCATGTATGTCCTGTTTCCAATTCTCTACAAAGTACCAAATAAGACCAGGTACCAAAGAGACTATGTTATAAAAGTTATTCAAATATATTGCTGGGACTTGAGGCTAATAGAGGCAAATTTTCAGAACAAGTCCACATCGTAAGCGATTTCCCAAACATAATCCTTGCATTTGTAGAGACAGAAATGCATCAGGTAAAAGCTGTAAGCCATTCACTCCATTAAATAGTTAACTGAATGGCTATTCTTTTGTAAATGATGTACTGACCTGATTCACATGAAATAACCTACATCTGATTATCATTTCACAATAGCTTGTACAAAAGTAACCCCAAATTAGTCATATATATAAAATGAGACTTCTGTGTGGGACAAAGCTATCACATCATCACATGACATCTTCTATCGATTGTGGGTGCATTTACCTGTGTGCCAAACAAGTAGGTGTATGCAGCCTTTAACACAAAGCTACCCTGAGTTTCATCCCTCAATGCATGGGAGTCTTTTTCAGTCTAGATTTAATACAACTGAGTTTCATCTATATTAGAAATTCATAACAAGAACTGTTGTGACAAAGGATCATGTGGTGGCTGTTGCTGCACCAGAAAGTCTCCTTAGAAGGCAGAGCTCAAGCCTTGAGCTCTCAGGACAGATGGCACCTACTGCTTAAGGGCCATTCTGCTCTTAGAACTGTACAGAACAAACTTCACTTTTCTCACCCAGAGAGGATTATATTACTGAGAACTATCTTGATTTTGTGTGTGTGTGTGTGTGTGTGTGTGTGTGTGTGTGTGTGTGTGTGTGCAAGTCAAAAATAAAAAAGTTTTCTGTCCTCTGGTTCAGGACAAACCGTAATGGTGAGATTAGGTCAGGATCCTGCTGACTGTCTATTCTAGACTTTTCGAGGAGAACCAAGGACATTAACCTAATAACTTCCCTATGCATATGGCAATCCTTGTCTCTGCCATTCCCTCTAGAACCTAGTATTAGGAATACACATGGAGTTCTTGAGGACTGGCTGTAGAAACCATTAAAGAAAGCATGTTTTCATTGTATATACTCTGTTAGCAGTGGTTGCACAATCCCTTGCTGCCCCTCCCCTACTTCAGTTCACTGTGATGTGGCTGTCATCACAGACAGGAACGCTGCTTTACTCCTCTGTGCTGGTCGCTTTGGCATATTTAGCCATGTGGTGTGGTCACTGCTTAGTGGTTTGAGATGACTAAGTTGTTTTTGTTTTCAAATGAAATGAGTGTTTCATATTGTATTTCTCATAGCATTAGAAGACAGTGGCAATTGTGAAGACCATTTAGATAGTCACTGTGTTGTCCTCCCATAAAACCTGTCTTCAAAATCATTAAAATTCCTAACCATGGTTTTTATTTTTGGTTTAGTTTGGTTTTTTTGTTTGCTTGGTTGGCTTTGTCTTTATGTAATAGAAGTTTGGCTTCTATTAAATTGTGAGACTGGACTTCCTTAAGAGTCTCATGGTGTACACAGCACAGTCTTGAACTATGGCTAAGGATGTTGAGAACTTCTTTTTCCCCTTCTTTCCTTCTGAAACTGGGTCTCAATATACAGAACTGGCCAGACAACATAGACCAAGCTGGCCTTGAACCTGCAGAGGTTCTTTCTGCCTCTGACTGTGCCACACCTGATTTCTCTGGTACTGGGATTGAACCAGGCCTTTGTGTGTCAGGTAAACACCACCCACATAGGGAATCATCCTTTGTGTTTGCACACAGCTTAGTGTGTTCAGATGATCTCTTATGAATTGCTAGGGCATAGACACAGGGCTCCCTGCCCACCTAATGTACATTTGTATGAGCCCCAGTTCTTTTCCCAGATAACCATTTTGCCCAAAATATGTGTTATTCATAATCTTATTTGACCCCAGGACCCCAGTGTTCAAAATTCCCTTGTGGCAGTCTGTAATGTTTCCAGCTTCTAAATTACAAGGTTAATAATTCTTTTATTCCCTTTCTACATTCAGATTTCTTTATGATTAAACGTCTTCTCTTGTGTGCTCCACCACCCAGATCATCCCATGCACAAATATACCTGGCTCATCC